ATGGAATGTCCGTTGCAAAAGAAGAATAGCTTCATCCAATATCTCAGAAGAACCCGTCGCCTCTTTGATGAAAAGGGTATGGGCCACACGGCGAGCCATCGAAAAAGGTGAAAGTTGCATATTAGTCGCTATTTTAACGGATAAATGTTGGAATCGGATTGGAGGCCCTACACCCCATCTCCAACCAAGCCTCGACACTAGGGTTTGGGTAACCGACTCAATAGGGGGCACCATCGCTTCCCTAGATTCTACACTCAGCGGCAACAAAAGACTAGCCGCCTGTCTCCAATTCGCTGGAATATCATCTAGAAGAGCGCCAATAGCATCCATACATTCCTGCCATTTACGATAGGTGCACAGGGATTTAGCTAGTGGGGTTTGCGGTTGGAGGTATTGATCCACTATTTGATGCCAAGCCTTGCGTATTGCTAGGCCTGCTTGGTCCGTTGCATTCATAACTCCATCCAAGGCCTCGCGCGCGCAAAGAACATCTCCCAATGTATGCAATGCTTTACAGCCCAGGAGGGCTTGATGTTGAAATTCTAGTCCCGGGCGGATGTTATCTAACTGGACATTCAACCTTTTTTCTGGAAGAACAGGGTTTCCCCACAATGGCAAATTCCAACACCACGCATTAGGAACTAACGGGTGATCATCAACATCTTCCACTGGGGGAAGGTATGCCAACGCTGTCACAATGCGCTGAACATCTGGCGGTAAAACGATTAATCCAAACCAAGGCACTCCCACCTGGGACGTAAAAATACACATAGGATTATATTTGGGGTAAAGGCTTTGTAGGAAAGATTGCATGACCATCACCCAAGGCGGACGCACTAAGACTGGTTGGAGTAATGCTCCCACATAACGCACTGCCCAGCATGCCCATCGCGCTTGCACATGTTGTCGTACTGCTAATGCCCCAAAACCGCCCAAAGTTGGATGGCCATATAACAAATATTTAGGAACCCCGGTGAGTCGTCTTTCTTGTGCAACCGGTCCGAGGTTCCTATCAATAAGCTTGGCCGCTTTAGCCTCAATATTCATGAGTTTAGCTTCTGGGGGAAACCCCCCGTGTTCCATATGCCATGTAACACGATGCAGCCCATATGCAGCCGCTGCATGTGCACGCCCAAAAATGGAAAGATTTAACACAGAAATGCGTCGAAACCGAGCCCAGACTTTGTCTAGTTGCACATCCCAGTCCCTGACTGTGGTTTCCCCCACATCCGTAAAAGGTAGATTGAGAGCCGTAGCCATATGTACGACCTTCATGTCATGATTTATTGTTATATGATGTGGGTGGGTACCGAGAGGTAACAGCTCAACCTTATCCAGGTTAAGTTGCTGTCCAGAAGCCTGTGCGTACACCCTCATACAGTCAAGGAAAGCCGGAATTGCTTGGATTCCTTCTAAAACAATTTCCGTATCATCAGCAAATTGCACACCTGTAACCAATTCTGAATTATTTTGGGGTAAATGAATCCCCACTCGGTTGTATTGTAACCAACATAGTAACGCCTGCGCGGCAAACAAGTGTGTATACATATATGTATATATATACACACACTCTCTCCATCTATATATATATGTATATATATGTATGTGTGTGTGTGTTCCTTGTTTCGGTGTGTACATGTGGGGGGGAAATAGGGGCAGGGGAAATGGTCATGATAGAAATTGGTTCGGGGGGGGGGGTATTAGAGCACCCTTTTTCGTCTTACCTTCTACCCTTCTTACCCCTCTTTGTTTCCCCCCTTCCACCACACACACATACGCACATACATACACACACGCGCGCGTAGGACAACTCGGACGGCCGTCCCCGCATTGTCTCCACCCTCCGCGCCTGCTGCTCGGGCTCCCGGCCGCTGCTGCTGGTGGTGGACACCATTGACAATGCCCTGCGGCAGCCCGGTGCAGCTGACGGCCTGTGGGGGCTGCTGGGGGCGGTGGTGGAGGGGTGTGCGGGGGTGCGGCTGCTGCTGGCCTCCGCGGCACCGGTGTCTCTGGGGGAGGGGGCAGAGGTGACGACGGTGGAGGTGAGGATTTGGAAAGGGAGTTAATGTACGTATGTGGTGTGTGTGTGTGTGTGTGTGTTGGGGTGGGGTGGGGGCTAGGGGGAAGTGGGGGAGTTCTATGGGGGGATGGATGGAGGGAATGGGCTCTGCCGGTGTAGGGAGCCGGGGGCAGGGGCGAGGGGGAGCAGGGGGGAAGTGTATGTATGTATGTGTGTGCGTGTGTGTGTTTTAATGATCTTGGGGTGGAGCCGCGCGATGAGGGGGAAAGGGTGATGCGGGCGGGCGCTTTATCTCACCCGAACGAAGCGAGCCCCGAACTGCCCCCAGCGACGTGTGGTAGGAATTGTCCAATGAAACTGTAGCTGGACGTGGCTGCTGCTTGAATGTCTCAGGTAGATGTTCATATTAAAAGGGTGATGTCAAGAACTTGTAGAAATAAGCGGAGGCGCTGACATAGCGAAGGGTGTGCGCGTGGGGGAAGGGAGCCGGGCGAGGATCGTAATGCGCGGAGGATGAGGGGGCGCGGGGGGGGGGGGAGGGGACGAGGTGTGGTAAAAACCCGAGAGGAGGGCGTTTCCTGGCACACGAGTGTACATCCCAAGCCAAAACCCCACCATCACCACCACCACCACCATGACCATCGCAGCCAACCCCCCCCAATCTCCCCGCCCCATTCCTTCCCTTCACCCTATTTCCCCTGCT